GCTACCATTAGAATTACCGCATCGCTGGACGTTTCTTTCTGTTAACTCTTTCTTTGCTAATTTGCAAAATTAAGCCTTTTACACATATATTTACAGAGATACAGCCAATTCAAATATCAAACATATCATCATGTTTTCTCAACATATTATTAAGAAAAATGAGTTGATGAGCAAGTATTAATAATTATAATCAGCCTAATAATAAATGGATATTAAAAAATTATGAATTTATTTCTTCGTCATTTATGTAGACACTTTTTTCATATCTTCAAGCCTATAACAGCCTACAATCACTGTGTAGAAAATTTCTCTGTCTACAATGTCATCAGGATGTTGGATATCCACTAGAGTAAGTCCTGCCTGAATCAGGATGTTGGATATCCACTGGAGAGTCCTGCCTGAATCAGGATTTTCAATATCCACTGAAGAAAGTCCTGACAGAATCAGGCTGTTGGATATCCACTGGGAAGAGTCCTGGTTGAATCAGGATATTCCATATCCACTGGAGAGAGTCCTGCCTGAATCAGGAAGTTGGACGTCCACTGGAGAGAGTCCTGCCTGAAACAGGATGTTGGATGTCCACTGGAGAGAGTCCTGCCTGAATTAGGATGTTAGATATCCACTAGAGGGAGCCTCAATTATTCTTTTGGATATCCTTGATCCTGACGACAATGAAAGCATATCTGAGAGCTGTTGATATCCTGCACTCTGAATATTGTAGAAGGCATCGCATCTATGGATATCTGCTTTCCTTTGATATAATTCTAGTATGTTGTGCCTCAGTGGGAGTCCTATATACTTGTTACAGCCGCCGGATTCCTCCGCGGGTATTCTACATCCTGATTATATTGTAGGATGTCCATCATCCTGAGATATCCAATATGATTAAAATAATGAGGGCAAATTCCTCATAGTGGACATCTAGCATCATGATCAAGGCAGGACTCTCTCCAGTGGACATTAAATATCATGATTCTGGCAGGACTGTCTCCAGTGGAGATTCAACATCCTAATTGAGGCCGAACTCTCTCCAGTTGATATCCAACATCCATATTCAACCAGGACTCTCTCTCCAGTGGATATCCAACATCATGATTCAGGCAGGACTCTCTACAGTGGATATCCAACATCCTGATTCAGGCCAGGACTCTCTCCAGTGGACATCCAACATCCAGATTCAGGCAGGACTCTCTCCACTGGACATCCAACATCCTGATACAGACAGGACTCTCTCCAGTGGATATCCAACATCCTGATGACAATGTAGACAGAAATTTTCTACACAGTGATTGTAGGCTGTTATAGGCTTGAAGATATAAAAAAAAGTATCTACATAAATGACGAAGAAATAAATTCATAATTTTTTAATATCCATTTATTATTAGGCTCATTATAATTATTAATACATGCTCATCAACTCATTTGTCTTAATAATATGTTGAGAAAACATGATGATATGTTTGATATTTGAATTGGCTGTATCTCGGTAAATATATGTGTAAACGGCTTAATTTTGCAAATTAGTAAAGAAAGAGTTAATAGAAAGAAACGTCCAGCGATGCGGTAATTCTAATGGTAGCATTTTGAAAACGATTCTATGGCTGGTTTTGATTTTGAGTTTTGCGAAAAATGACGATTTCGCCGAGGTGGCGATTTTTCCGTGGCAGCTCCGCTTTGCGCCATCTTTTGACAATTATTTACTGATTTAACTGACCACTGAGCTGTGTGGCCGTCAAGATGGCGCAAAGCGGAGCTGCCACGGAAAAATCGCCACCTCGGCGAAATCGTCATTTTTCTCAAAACTCAAAATCAAAACCAGCCATAGAATCGTTTTCAAAATGCTACCATTAGAATTACCGCATCGCTGGACGTTTCTTTCTGTTAACTCTTTCTTTGCTAATTTGCAAAATTAAGCCTTTTACACATATATTTACCGAGATACAGCCAATTCAAATATCAAACATATCATCATGTTTTCTCAACATATTATTAAGACAAATGAGTTGATGAGCAAGTATTAATAATTATAATGAGCCTAATAATAAAGGGATATTAAAAATTATGAATATCTTTATTCATAATTTATGTACATACTATTTTACTATTTTTTATATCTTCAAGACTATCAAATCCTACAATCACAGTGTAGAAAAGTTCCGTCTATAATGTCATCAGGATGTTGGATATCCACTGAAGAAAGTCCTGACAGACTCAGGATGTTGGATATCCACTGGAGAGTGTCCTCCCTGAATCAGTATGTTGAATGTCCACGGATAAGAAACTTGCTCACATTATAAGAATCATATTGGATATCTAAGGATGAAGGGCATCCTACAGTATCATTAGGATGTAGAATACCCGCGAAGGTATTCGGCGGGTGTAACTAGGATATTGGAGTCCCACTGAGGAAAAACATAGCAGAATTATATCAAAAGAAAGTAGATATCCTTAGATACGATGCCTTCTACAATATCCACAGTGCTGGATATCAACAGCTCTGGGATATGCCTTTATTGTCGTCAGGATGTAGGATTTCCTAACGAGTGGTCCTTAAGAAAGAATAATTGTCTGACTCTTGTTTAAATAATTATATAAAAAGGCTTCGTGAGGGTAATAGTGTCAATGTAGGCTACAAGAAGAAGAATTTTTAATGATAGGCTATGAGAGGAATAATGTTAATTACAGGCTATTAGTGGGATAATAATGTTAATGTAGGATACTAGAGGGATAAATGTCAATGATAGACTTCGAAGAGGTTAATAATATAAGGTACAAAGATGTTAAATATTTGCCAAAATAAGCTGTTTTGCTAATAACGAATTTTCCGTATTTTTACTGATCATATATGACTATTACCGTACTGATTATGTTTCAGACATTTGATGTAACACAAATAAGTATATATATAGTTTATAGCGAGAAGGATCATGGGAATTTATAGTTTTTTTATTATAATGTTATCATAAGACTAATAATGCTAGGCTTAGAACAGAAATATATGTATATATATTTATATATAATATGTATAGAAATATACATATATACTTATATGGTCTCCTGATTCCATGTATGACTAACCATCCACTGAAATAAGGGATATTAACAAAGATATCATTAGGACAAATGGGGAGGTTATCTTGAGATGATTTCGGGGCATAGTGTCCCCGCGGCCCGGTCCTCGACCAGGCCTCCACCCCCAGGAAGCAGCCCGTGACAGCTGACTAACACCCAGGTACCTATTTACTGCTAGGTAACAGTGGCATAGGGTGAAAGAAACATTTTGCCCATTTGTCTCCGCCTCCACCGGGGATCGAACCCGGAACCTTAGGACTACGAATCCGAAGCGCTGTCCAATCAGCTGTCAGGCGCCACAGACCATTGGAGAGGGAGATGAGGCCATTGACAAGCCGCCGGCTTCCTTTCCTCGTCAAGGCCACTAGTGTTGGTGGCTCTCAGGTAAATTCAGGTAAAGACATGCGTGTATGAAAATTCTGCAGTCCCACATAGTGTGGTTGTAGATAGATATTGCATATAGAATGTTTAGTCAAATTGTCTAATAGACTTTTCTATGTTCCTATATATTCTTAGCGGATGTGATTGTGCCCTCAGGAAATCATAGGCCTACACATCCATGAAGACAGCAGACATAGGGTCTCTAAAGACTAAGGGAGCCGGTCGGCCGAGCGGACAGCACGCTGGACTTGTGATCCTGTGGTCCTGGGTTCGATCCCGGGCGCCGGCGAGAAACAATGGGCAGAGTTTCTTTCACCCTATGCCCCTGTTACCTAGGTACCTGGGTGTTAGTCAGCTGTCACGGGCTGCTTCCTGGGGGTGGAGGCCTGGTCGAGGACCGGGCCGCTGGGACACTAAAGCCCCGAAATCATCTCAAGATAACCAAGATAACATTTAAGAGAACGCATTGTGTTCTCTTTAATTGATCGTCGAAATACACTCCTCTCCCGTCTATTAAGTCATTCTCCTTGTTGTGCATAACCCAGAAGATACCTAGTTTCGTTTGATAATACTCAGAGAGAGGCGAGATGCCGAAATTTTGAATTGCACGAGTTTTAAGTTTGGTTGTGAAGAGTTAAGAGTGAGTTGGGTAGCAAATATGGCGGCAAGGGGAGGCGGCGGCGGCCAGGCTCCCGCCAAAATACCCCAGGGCGCCAAACCTCCCTGGTTTCGGAGAATGTGATTGGTCGAATGTGTGGGAGGAGCATGCCCAATCTGACCAATAACAGAGCGCCATGACGCTGACGTCACGCCTTGCGCTCAATCTGACCAATAACAGAGCCCCATGGCGCCGACGTCACAGCAAGGAGTGACGTCAACGCTCTAGGATGTAGGATGCTGGCGGGAAAGTCTCCCAGCCGTCATTCGCGCCGCAGCTCTCGTGGTGACGGGTCGCGCCGCGTGTTGCTCCCCCAAGGCGCCACGCGGACCCCAAAGCAGCACTCAAGAGACACTGTAGAGGGATCACCGGCCACTATCTGCACCGCTGGACTGGAATAGGTGGTTACAAGAGGCTCTTTAGTGTCCAGAGAAGGGGTTCAAACCCGTGTAATTGCCATCAGTCCTCTATTAAGGTAAATCAAATTCCCTCCAAAGTCACTTTTCTAATAAGTTGTTGATGTAAATTATTTTATAAACTGAATGATTATTATTTTAATGTGGCGAGTAAGCTAATATATTTAGTTAAGAGTCCCGGTTCCTTCTCGACTCAATCCAGAATCCCGGGTTCGAATCCCGGCCGGGATAGATAAGCCTATAACGTGTATAAGCATGTATGTGTGTATATATATATATATATATATATATATATATATATATATATATATATATATATATATATATATATATATATATATATATATGTATATAATTATATATATATATAAACATAACGTGTATATAAGCCTAACGTATGAATACACTCTGGCTTCCTGTCCCCCTTCATTAGCATCTGAAGCATTATGCTTCACATGTGTATAATGCTTCAGATGTGCGTAATGCTTCAGATGTGCATAATGCTTCAGGTGTGCATAATGCTTCAGATGTGCATAATGCTTCACATGTGTATAATGCTTCAGATGTGCGTAATGCTTCAGGTGTGCATAATGCTTCAGATGTGCATAATGCTTCAGATGTGTATAATGCTTCACATGTGTATAATGCTTCAGATGTGTATAATGCTTCAGATGTGCATAATGCTTCAGATGTGCATAATGCTTCAGATGTGCATAATGCTTCAGATGTGTATAATGCTTCAGATGTGTATAATGCTTCAGATGTGCATAATGCTTCAGATGTGTATAATGCTTCACATGTGTATAATGCTTCAGATGTGCATAATGCTTCAGATGTGTATAATGCTTCACATGTGTATAATGCTTCACATGTGTATAATGCTTCACATGTGTATAATGCTTCACATGTGTATAATGCTTCACATGTGCATAATGCTTCACATGTGCATAATACTTCAGATGTGTATAATACTTCAGATGTGTATAATACTTCAGATGTGCATAATGCTTCACATGTGCATAATGCTTCACATGTGTATAATACTTCAGATGTGTATAATACTTCAGATGTGCATAATGCTTCACATGTGCATAATGCTTCACATGTGTATAATACTTCAGATGTGTATAATACTTCAGATGTGCATAATGCTTCACATGTGCATAATGCTTCAGATATATTTGGCATCTTCACTTTCATTGGAGAAATTAAACCTAAACCATTATTAAGTAAATTATTTGAATTTGTAACATTTATTTAACTAAACAGACTGTAAGCATTAGCATTTTTAGGTTTTAAGATTGTATATTTTCTTTCCAGAAAGTCTAATGTCTTGTCTAATGGGAAGCCCTGGAACATATACATAGCAACTTGGTAATGTCTGTATATTTTCTTTCCAGAAAGTCTAATGTCTTGTCTTATGGGAAGCCCTGGAACATATACATAGCAACTTGGTAATGTCTTATAAGCGCCAACTGACAAAATTTTTGGGCAAGTTGTAGACCGCTGGAAACAATTCTGTTTTGAAGTAGGTTAAGCATGTTTGATTTTGTTTACCTTGTTTATATGTATTTTTATATAGCTTGATGTTTTGACTAACCTTGGAAGACGCCACTTACCCAAGGGCATGATGTTTCTTAGCTTCTCCGCATGTGAGATTAATCTTCCTCACAAGATTATCTTTGTGATCAACCCATCAACCCCATCTCCATGTAGCATGGGGGCTCTTTAGCCTTTCCTTCCAGCTTCCTCGAGGGTACTCATCCTATCTGGCTAGCCTCCGCCTCTACACCACCATGGGAGGCTCTATAGCCTCTGCCTCTACACCACCATGGGAGGCTCTATAGCCTCTGCCTCTACACCACCATGGGGGGCTCTATAGCCTCTGCCTCTACACCACCATGGGGGGCTCTAGTCTCCACCTCCACACCACCATGGTGGACTCTAGCCTCCACCTCCACACCACCATGGTGGACTCTAGCCTCCACCTCCATGGAGGGCTCTAGTCTCCACCTCCACACCACCATGGAGAGGCTCTAGTCTCCACCTCTACACCACCATGGTGGACTCTAGCCTCCACCTCCACACCACCATGGTGGGGCTCTAGCCTCCACCTCCACACCACCATGTAGAGGCTCTAGTCTCCACCTCCACACCACCATGTAGAGGCTCTAGTCTCCACCTCCACACCACCATGGAGAGGCTCTAGTCTCCACCTCCACACCACCATGGTGGGGCTCTAGCCTCCACCTCCACACCACCATGGTGGACTCTAGCCTCCACCTCCACACCACCATGGTGGGGCTCTAGCCTCCGCCTCTACACCACCATGGGGGGCTCTATAGCCTCTGCCTCTACACCACCATGGTGGGCTCTAGCCTCCACCTCTACACCACCATGGTGGGCTCTAGCCTCCACCTCTACACCACCATGGGAGGCTCTATAGCCTCCACCTCCACACCACCATGGTAGCCTTGGTTGCTGCTCCAATGTCCTTCCTTAAATTCCGTTTCATAATAAATTTTCCTCACAGCCTAACTATGCCTATAATCATTATACTGTGTCTTTCAGTATAATAGTATTGTAACATCTCTTTTGCAGCCTGTCTTATGTTTCTTGTATGCATATTTGTTTGTGAAATGAGCTATAATTATTGTTTACCATTTATAATATGATTATTTATGTTGGAATAATTTTTTTTACAGCCATTATTTTAATATTCTTTTACAGCCTAATTTGTTTAATATTTTTACAGTGTAATTTGTTAAATATTTTTACAGCTTAATTTTTAAATACTTTTTACAGTCTAATTTTTAAATATTCTTTTACAGCCTAATTTTTAAATATTCTTTTACAGCCTAATTTTTTAATATTTTTTTACAGCCTAATTTTTAAATTTCCTTTACAGCCTAATTTTTAAATATTCTTTTACAGCCTAATTTTTAAATTTCCTTTACAGCCTAATTTATAAATATTATTTTACAGCCTAATTTTTTAAATTTCCTTTACAGCCTAATTTTTAAATATTCTTTTACAGCCTAATTTTTAAATTTCCTTTACAGCCTAATTTTTAAATATTCTTTTACAGCCTAATTTTTAAATTTCCTTTATAGCCTAATTTTTAAATATTCTTTTACACCCTAATTTTTAAATTTCCTTTACAGCCTGATTTTTAAATATTCTTTTACAGCCTAATTTTTAAATATTCTTTTACAGCCTAATTTTTAAATATTCATTTACAGCTTAATTTTTAAAATATTCTTTTACAGCTTAATTTTTAAAATATTCTTTTACAGCCTAATTTTTAAATATTCTTTTACAGCCTAATTTTTAAATATTCTTTTACAGCCTAATCTTTTTAATAATTTTACAGCTTAATATATTTTAGCCAAAGGAATTTGTTTTATTTTAACAGCAGTTCGTCATATATGATCTTTATATTAGTAAGTAATGTATACTGTGTTTTTATAAATTAGATATTATTACAAATTTAACAAAAAATGAAATTTAATAATTGTAAGTTTTGCTGGGAATTGTAGTGTATAATTACCTAAAACAATTACATATTTACAATTAATGCTAAATTAATACATTTTTTTTTCTCAAATTTGTTAAACTATTAAAATCTTCTTAATTATGTAAAAACAAAATTGTAAGGTATAGAAATGTTTTAATAATACTTACCACAGTTACAGACCTTGTTGTCATCAGCAGTCAACTCTGTCTACCATATACCCCCTTGTCTTGGATTGAATTCCCGGGCAGAGCGAGACAAGGCATGTTTCCTTGATCTCATGCTTCTGTTCACCTCACAGTGAGTAGGTCTGCAGAATTTTGGTCTTGTGGGTTGTGTAGATGTGAATGGTGTCATGTGTTGGATGGGAATGGGGCCGTGTGGTGGATGTGGATGGGGCCATGTGGTGGATGTGAATGGGGCCATGTGTTGGATGGGAACGGGGCCATGTGGTGGATATGAACAGGGGCATGTGGTGGATGGGAACGGGGCCATGTGGTGGGTGAGAACAGGGCCATGTGGTGGAAGGGAACGGGGCCATGTGGTGGATGGGAACAGGGCCATGTGGTGGATGGGAACAGGGCCATGTGGTGGATGGGAACGGGGCCATGTGGTGGGTGAGAACAGGGCCATGTGGAAGGGAACGGGGCCATGTGATAGATGGGAACAGGGCCATGTGGTAGATAGGAACAGGGCCATGTGGTGGATGGGAACAGGGCCATGTGGTGGAAGGGAACGGGGCCATGTGGTAGATGGGAACAGGGCCATGTGGTAGATAGGAACAGGGCCATGTGGTGGATGGGAACAGGGCCATGTGGTGGAAGGGAACAGGGCCATGTGGTAGATGGGAACAGGGCCATGTGGTGGATGGGAACAGGGCCATGTGGTGGAAGGGAACAGGGCCATGTGGTGGAAGGGAACAGGGCCATGTGGTAGATAGGAACAGGGCCATGTGGTGGATGGGAACAGGGCCATGTGGTGGATGGGAACAGGGCCATGTGGTGGAAGGGAACAGGGCCATGTGGTGGAAGGGAACAGGGCCATGTGGTGGAAGGGAACAGGGCCATGTAGTGGAAGGGAACAGGGCCATGTGGTGGAAGGGAACAGGGCCATGTGGTGGAAGGGAACAGGGCTATGTGGTGGAAGGGAACAGGGCCATGTGGTGGATGGGAACGGGGCCATGTGGTGGAAGAGAACAGGGCTATGTGGTGGAAGAGAACAGGGCTATGTGGTGGAAGGGAACAGGGCCATGTGGTGGAAGAGAACAGGGCCATGTGGTGGAAGGGAACAGGGCCATGTGGTGGAAGAGAACAGGGCTATGTGGTGGAAGAGAACAGGGCCATGTGGTGGAAGGGAACAGGGCCATGTGGTGGAAGAGAACAGGGCCATGTGGTGGAAGGGAACAGGGCCATGTGGTGGAAGAGAACAGGGCTATGTGGTGGAAGGGAACAGGGCCATGTGGTGGAAGGGAACAGGGCCATGTGGTGGAAGGGAACAGGGCCATGTGGTGGAAGAGAACAGGGCCATGTGGTGGAAGGGAACAGGGCCATGTGGTGTGTAGCGAGTAGATTATCCAATAATATACTCGCTCCAAATGCATTGTTAATTTTCCTGTCAACCTTTGGAGATGAATGAGGTGAGGCGTTGCCCGGGTAATACGGTGAGGAGTTGCCCGGGCATATAAGCAGCAGGATAGCAAACATAAACCAGAGTCTACTTTCAAGTGTGGTCTAGAGCAGACACTTGCGAGATACTGTACCGACGCTCAGTGCGCTCAACTCACACCAAAGTATCACCGGTGTACTTCTGTATATTCGACCAAATATATATATAGTATCTTAGTGTCTGTGTTTATTTGTCACCATACTTTACGTAAAGTATGGTGACAAATAAACACAGACACTAAGATACTATATATATATTTGGTCGAATATACAGAAGTACACCGGTGATACTTTGGTGTGAGTTGAGCGCACTGAGCGTCGGTACAGTATCTCGCAAGTGTCTGCTCTAGACCACACTTGAAAGTAGACTCTGGTTTATGTTTGCTATCCTGCTGCTTATATGCCCGGGCAACTCCTCACCGTATTACCCGGGCAACGCCTCACCTCATTCATCTCCAAAGGTTGACAGGAAAATTAACAATGCATTTGGAGCGAGTATATTATTGGATAATCTACTCGCTACAGGTGGAAGGGAACAGGGCCATGTGGTGGAAGGGAACAGGGCCATGTGGTGGAAGAGAACAGGGCCATGTGGTGGAAGAGAACAGGGCCATGTGGTGGACGGAAACAAGGCCATGTGGTGGACATGAACAGGGCCATGTGGTGGACATGAACAGGGCCATGTGGTGGACATGAACAGGGCCATGTGGTGGACATGAACAGGGCCATGTGGTGGACATGAACAGGGCCATGTGGTGGAAGAGAACAGGGTCATGTGGTAGATGGGAACAGAGCCATGTGGTGGACGGAAACAAGGTCATGTGGTGGATGGGAACAGGGCCATGTGGTGGACGGGAACAGGGCCATGTGGTAGATGGGAACAGGGCCATGTGGTGGACATGAACAGGGCCATGTGGTAGATGGGATCAGGGCCATCTGGTGGACGGAAACAAGGTCATGTGGTGGACATGAACAGGGCCATGTGGTAGATGGGAACAGGGCCATGTGGTGGACATGAACAGGGCCATGTGGTAGATGGGAACAGGGCCATCTGGTGGACGGGAACAGGGCCATGTGGTGGAC